CTCTCTCTCTCTCTCTCTCTCTCTCTCTCTCTCTCTCTCACACACACACACACACACAAATAAATAAATAAAAACATTTATGATCAGTCCTGAATCCAGGCTTTCTCCCTACTTGCCCCTAACTTTTTCCTCAAGTATAGTGCTATTGTTTTACTTAAACAGTGAAATACTTTAACAATACCTATGTAACAGCAAAGATTTTCTAGCTCTCATGCTGCATATTAGCACTGAGTACAAGAATACAGTTGTTAAATTTTAGTGGCACATTTATGTTTCCATTTTCTTTTATTTCTGACTCTGCAGGTAGTAGTTCTTCATTGAAGAAAATATGTACATAAGTTATAGAAAAATAACAACCTATACCCTAAAAACATGTATGTGTATCTTAACATCAGTGTGCAAACATCTCATTATTTTTTCATTTAAATTTTTAAACAACATTTAGATTATAATGCAGAATTGTGCCATTGTCATACACATTTTTCTTAATTGTTCATACATTGCATTCAGTATAAAGACAGCATGCAATTCTGCAATGAACAGTAGAATAAAATCAGATTGGGTTCTAGACGAGTGCAGTATTAAGTGTATGCCTTATTTTGAAGAAGGAAGGTAACTTCTCTAGGATGACACGTCCCATTTCTGAGATGAGAATAAGTTGGACTGATGCCCCATAGCACTGTGTAAATGTTGGCTGTTACAGTAATTGCAGTACGCTGTATATGATTATTATTATTGGTGCTTTTGTATCTTTTAAGAGTATGTGGTCAGAGCACAATGGATTCAGATCTCAGCTCTGAAGGGTCATAGAGCAAAGTTCTGAGAAACACATCATTCATCAAAATAGGGATAGTATGCTCAAGTATCCGTTGTCACATTAGATTTGGTGTATGTTTCAAATTCCGGATAGTGCAAAATTATAAGCTTCCACCTAATGTAAACTTCTGCATTTCTCTGAAGTGTTGTAAACCTCAGTGTCAAGTTCAAGGTTGTCACAGTCAGTGGTTAGCTTTATAGCTATACTATGTTAAAGGCATGTAACTGTAAAATATTTTGTACTGGTGTAATCCCCATAATTTATCATAATCCTTTGTCAATTTTATGTATATTTGAAATTATATATTCACTAAACTATATTGAAATGATTTATCTTTTCAAACTTAAGCAAAATGAACTATTAAATAGTTAAAATTTTTATATCAATATATTGGCAAATAAACAGACATCATTTTGGCTAATAATGGAGTAATTGCTTTCAGATAACATAATGTTATATTTGAAATATGAGAAGTATATTCATGAGAATAGTTTTATTATGCCTCTTCATTTAGAACGGGCCTTTTATACATTTGGCAATACTAGTCATTGTTTTTTAAATATTTATAAATTAATATTCATATTTTTGTAAAACTTTTTATCACTGGAGGTAGTGAAGATGATTATTATTATAATTTCTTCAAAAAGATTATACTGACACTTTAGTTTCAATCAGTACAGCCTCCAGATTTTGTTCACCTGTCCTGTTTTCACTAGCTATATTGTCTGGAGAATCGACAACTTGATAAAACCCTTGTCCTCTTTGGAACTTATTCTCTGAAGGAGATAAGAATGACATAACTATATTGTGCATTAGCAGGTGGTGGTGAGTGCTAGGACAAAAGCTGGAGAGGAGTGTAAATGGCAGGGAGGTTTTATTCCAGATGAGATACGTACGAAAGGGCAGTGTTTCAGCAGAAACATGAAAGCCGCAGGCAGCAAGCGGTGAGGCGGCATCCATGAGGGCCGAGCGTGCAGCGCGCAGTGTGTGAGTGGAGCAGCACCAGCGTGTTGGCAGTCAGAGCAGATCAGCGAAGTCGTGCACATTTAAGCGCATCCTGAGAGCTGAAGGGCATACCACTGGGATTGTTCTTAATATCATGAAAGAACTTTAAAAAGTAACTTACCATAAAACTTACTCTAATGTTGGGAAGAAGTGATTCTATGTGCCATTACAATGACCACGTCTAATACAGTGCCACTTTTTGTTTTACCTTTTCTCTAACCATGTTTCTTGTTAGGATTTTTAGAATGCTGCATAAAATTATGAAATAATATGTAGGGTAGGCTGTGATGATTTTGTTTCTTAAATCAAAAATTTGTATAAACTTTAAATATTACTAAGCAGTAAGTCTTAGAATATATGTAGCAAATAAATAAAATGATGTATCATACATAAAATGCTTTCTGGAATACAAATCATTCATTTCTTACCAGTTGATAATTTATTTTGCTACTAAGCACTCTGTTTTTAAAGCTTATAAGTAATTAGTTACATACAAGAACTTGTCCATACTCTGCCAAGACTTGGTTGAGTATCTGTTCTTCAACATTTTCCAATTCAAAACAGAAATAGAAGAGACAAGCATAGGTGAATTTATAGACAATACAGCATCAATAAATGGACTGGTCACCTCTCCACCAAGAATGTTGAATGCTCTAGAGGAATGTAATTTTGAGCCTTCCATTTTGAAATCTGAAAGTCAGGTACTCCTATGCCAGTGTAAAAGTTACCCATTTGGGGGGGGGTAGGGGGTTGCTTCCCATTTGTCCACATTTAAAAAAATGAATATATCTTCCAGAAGGCTCAAAATAGCTAATGCAAAGTGAATTTCACAACTGTAAAGGTCAGGGACAGGATGGTTTTACATTTTTTGGAGCATGTGACCCAGTGCATTACCAACATACTAACCGTGGCATGATAGCCACCATGAGAATGTATGATGATAATATGAAATTGATGAAGGAACAAGCCTAAGTGGTGGGTATTTTCCTTGGTACTTTATTTGGAACTGGCCCAAGATCTGACCTACTTTGTTCCACTGCTATCCTAAAACGTCTCACAGGTTAGATCAGTTCCATGTCTCCTAAGTTAAGAACTCTTCAGTGCTGCCAAAAGTAACGTACACGAAAAGAGCTAATTCTAAATCTAATTATTATACCGTTTATTTAATTGCAGGTAAAATTAAGCCTACTTTTTGAATCACATCATAGAAGAAAAAAATCCCATAGATAATTACAAATAATGTAATTATTTACATTAGTTTAGGTTTATGTTTGGTATTTTATATAAAACTTCATCTTGTAACTTTGTTGTTTTTCTTTTTGTCATATAAACTCATCTTTTCAAAACTGGATAGAATAATTTCTTAATAAATATATGTAGTATTAAATAAAATGTTGAAATATTTTTACGAAGTATCTATTTTTATTAAAAGAATGTTACACAGTAATTGAACATTTTTAAAAAATTAATTAGAACATTATAATGGTGAATAATGAAATATCAAAGCATATTTGTCATATTTAGATGCAAAAGCCACTTGACTTTTTTCTACTTATAGATGTAATTCCCTAAAATCCATACTAGCAATCTATAACTAGTAAATTTTAGCATATTCCTTCAAATATAAGACAAGCATTTTTACTTTATTCAGAAATAATCTGTTGATTAGCAGCAGAAGAAAAGAATGAGGGAAATCTGCCCCATCAGAATTCTGTATAAATGAAGATGAAATGCAGAATCAGGCGCAAATATGATTTTAAAATTCGCTCATTCACAACTGATAATAGAGCATTTCCTGAGTAACTAGTAAAAACTTGTATGGTTTTTCTTTCATCTCTAAACTTTCTAGAAACTTAGATAAATGGTTGAAATGCAAATCCTTTGAGGTTTTTCCTAATGCCCCTTTGTAATCAGCGTAGAGAAGAGCCCATGAAATCATTAACTGCGTGTGGGCAGCACTAGTCTGAAAACATGAAATCCACAACGCTCTAAAATCCAGAATTTCTTGAGCATCATGTGAGGGATGCTTAAATGGGAAAGTTTGTATGGATATTCCAAAATTTGAAAAAAAAAAAAAAATCAGAAATCTAAATTCCATTAGTGGAATACTCAATCAAGATGAAAGTTAATTTACACTTGATGACTTTGTATACCAAAGGCCTCTTGCTCCCTCTACAGAAGGTGCTGCAAAATTGCAGTTCATGTTTTTGCTTTGTTTTTAATGCAACAGACTTCTCCCGAGTTGCATGATTGACAAAATCATTTGTGTTGTTGTCTTGCAAACTAATTGATTGTCTTTAGGCAGTCGGTTAGGTTTGTGCATTTTTGAGTTAGCGTTTTCATTGGTATCAGCATGAGAGAAATTCCAGTAGCAGTAACTGACAATGTCATGGTTTCTCCTTGCTTAAGATTTGTTTGTTTGTTTGTTTTTTAATTTTATTATTTACTCAAATGAGGAAGTAAAATTCTTGAAAATTCCTTCTGATGTTAGGTGAGTGTGTCACCCTTTTCAGTCCTCTTACCAGCCTGGGAGTTTAAACTGTACACAGACGTATCTGCTTCTAATTATTCCATTCATTTTCAGTTCTTAGTTTGTGTTGAAAGGGAGAATGTAACAACTTGAATTATTTCACAGGAGAGTTAAATTTCAGGAGAATAAATTGATTTTTTGTCAACTATTGGTGATATTGAGAAGAAGCAAAACATTTGAGCTTTCCATAAAAACTTTTATTAACATAAAACTACTGCCATGCATTTTTATAATCTTACTTTGCCCCATTTAAGTTAAATCAAAATAAAATGTTATTTTAATAGCTTCCATTTGAATACTGTTAATTATTTTCTCTCACAACTCTGAGACCTTTTCATTTGGTCTCACAGGTCACTACCTATTTTTTTTCTCATTGTATCATTAAGATTATGAGAATTCTTTTATCCCATCAAGAAATTCTGAACAAAAAGCTGTAGAGCCTTTCCATTTGTCTTTCCTAGAACAGCCCCTCTGATATTAACCAGTAATTGAAAATTGCAGATAAGTGGGAAGTAGTCTTTTGATTTGAATGTGTCACATCAGACTTTCCTGTTCCAATATGTGTGATGCTTAAACTAGACTGGATTTTCTTTTTCCCTTGGTAGGTGTACTGGTCCATTAGCAAATTCTCTTTCAGAGAAAACAAGAGACCCAGTAGCGGAAGGTGATGACGAATACAAGATTCCTTCATCCCATCCAGTGCCCCTGAACTCACAGCCATCTCATTGTCATAATGTAAAACCTCCTGTTCGGTAAGAACCTGTCGGCTCTGCACCATGCACATCTACATAAGCATTATCACCCCGAGGGTCTGTTGGTATGCAGCTGTATCACGTGTTTGGCTAAATATCTCTGATTTTCGATTGAAAGTCTCTTTTATGCTATTTTCTGCATTATTTTCATAGGAAACTAAATGTGATAGGGTATCTTGTTGTCTTCCAGAAAACTCCAAATTATACTCTCAACAAAAATGTAACTAAGGGCCAGCCAAATAGCTGAGCAGATTAAAGCACCTGCAAGCAGGTTCAGCGGCCCAGCCTGCCATGCTGGCCCCGCCCCCAGGGTGTGCTGAGATGGCAGTTGAGGCTGGGTATGGTGGCGCAGGCCTGTAATCCCAGCTCTTGGGAAGCTGTAAACAGGCAGATCACTGTGGGTCCGGTCTAGTAGTCAGACCCTGAACACCCTGTAGACCCTTCCCTAAAATACAAAAAAAAAAAAAAAGTAGCAACCTGTTATATATGCTCCTCATTAATTATACTTTTTAATAAACTATTTTGATTTATTGTATTATTTCCAATCATATATATTATAAAAAATGAGTGTGGAGAAACTGTAGTGTTACAAACTTCCTTAGAATTTTTCTTCATGATGTAAAGACTAGTATAATTTGTCTTCATTTCCCTTCTTGATATGCCACCTGCTCCTATTGGGGTCTTAAACTAAAACTACAAAGTTATTTCTCTAAACTGATTTTTGGTCAAGTTCTGTTTTCCCTCCATTGAACCAGATAAGCCTGAAAGGTACAGTATTTTGTCACTGTTGTTTGTGGGTCTCACCCTAATGCAGGTATCTTTGCTCTGTGGAGTGGCAGTCACATTGAGGTATAAGAAGTGTTACCAGAAATAGAGGTTTATGTGCTGAAGTATTATTTGGGCATAAAGTAAAAGCACTATTCTACATCTATATAATTGAAGTAGTAAACTAATATTCCTATATTTGTTTTATCTTAACAACATACATGAGTCACTTCCTGATCAGTTCTCAGCTTTAAAACCATCATCATCCCAAGCTCTTGTGTCCCCAGAGTCACAGCCTGAGGCTGTGGTGGCCTTCCATCCAGCATCTCCTGACTGACTGACTGACTGAGGGCTATTGTACTTTGTGTGCCATTTCCTTTCCAAGTCACATCAGTCAACTAAAACATTTTATGAGTGCAGAGTTCCTTCTTTTCAGAAGAAAAGGCTAAATGTGATTTTGTTTTTGATACTAGGAATTAAACCTAAGATCTTGCATACGCTAGGCATGTAGTCCATCACTGATCTGAGTTTGTAGCCTTTTTTAAAATTTTTGTTTGGAGACAAGGCCTAACTTTAGCTGCCCTCCTGGCTCCGCCCTGTGAGCCGCCCTTTCCCGTAGCCTCCAGGGTCGGGTGGTGGGTGGGGTGGCGAGGCTCGCAGGCACCCTGCCCAGCCCCAGCCGAGAAGTGCTTTGGTGCCTCTTCAAGGGTCGGAGGCAGAACAGGAAAGGCAGTGCTTGGAAAAGAAAAATATTTAAACCTTTTTTGAGCAGAGGTCTGACTTGATTAAGTGGTGCGCTGAGAATCATCCACACTGCAGAATTATTAACCAGGATTAGTGAACACTTCAATCCAGTGCTTAATTTTTTAGAGCAAAAAACAACATAGTACTAGCTAATTGCTAGCTTTAAGATATTAATTGATAAAATAGTGTCACTGGGATGACAGACAGCGCGGAGGCAGTTTGTTATGTCAAAAGAACCATGTGGCTACTGATCTTTTAGAGAAAATACTTAACCTCATCAAATATAGGCCCTTACATTTGTTCATTCCTTTGGTGCTTACAAGTATAATTTTTTAAATTCTGAAATAGGATAAAACCTTGGTCTCCTTGGGATCATGTGTTTTTATTGCTGGATGAATTAGGGGTATAATTTTAAAATGTTGAACTTTAATTATCACATTGTAGTAGATGAGATTTTGGTGGCAGGCCTCCTAAATCCTGAAAATAAATTTGAATTTTAACCACTATTACCATCTTGCAAAGCGCTTATTCTACTGAGCTATCTGCCAGCCCATCTTGCAAATGTTGTAGAGAAGTAATAAATGTTGATAATCCCTAAACTTAACTGGAGTAAATTTTTTAATTTTTTTTGAAGGTTGATATAGTATCATCATATGTCATCTCTAAAGCACTTCTAAGCACACACAGTTCCTTTCCTTATATGTTTTTCCCTTTTGGAACATCAGGTGAAATAAATTGTCAATATCTGGAAAAAGTGAAATGGTAAATGAATAATTCAGTTCAGTTGTAGCAAAAAGAAAATCCATCATTATTATGAAGATCCAATACATGATAACTATTTTTAAATGAACCATATCTGGCCCCTTAAAGAGAAGTGGCCACCAGAGAGAATAGAAATGAATTTCAGATGAAGCAATCTTGCAATATCTATTCAAATATCCATGGTCTGCTCCATTATGTATGTACTTTAACTCTGCTCTAAGAATTCAGAGCAATTCAGAGAAGAGTAAAATGTAAGTTTCATTCTCTGTCACTCTTTGTTAGGTGACTGTTGCACCACTCGCTCGATGCTGAGGGCAGAGCATGCCCCTGCGCCTCTGCGCCTTCTGCTCGACTTTATCTGTTGTGTTCACAGCATGGCTCTGACATCCCAGTGCCAAAAGCTGCACAGATACCGTTCTAGTAAATCTCATTGCTTTTTATAAACGCCAAGATGTAAATATTTGTTGTATTTTATTTTAGTAAAGGCTTATCTCTAGAGTGTCCACGAGCTAGCTTATTCAGAACCATACTGAATGTAAGCAACAGTATTGCAGGCTCTAGGTCTTCAAATATGACTGTCAGAATTGTAATGGAATTACTGGAAGCTTACTAATTTTTCCTTTTCATGGGATGTAGTTTATTTTTATTAAAAATCATCAGTTATATAAATAAAAATTTAAGACATCAGTAAATAGGGAAGTCACTGCAAGTGTTGTTTATTCTTTTTCTCAGCAAATCCTTCTTTTTAACTTGAAAAACTGGACCAGGTCTTAGTTTCAAAGAATTTAAGGTATCATCAATTTTTGTGGCCCTTGTAATTTTGGGGTTCAGTTTAAAAACTGACAGAGGAAAACTGCTTGTCTTTTATAAGATATTTCCTTCTGATTTTAAAATAAAGGGATTACCACCTAGATACTGGTAGTGCTGCTTTTTCTAAAAAAAGCACTATGTTTATTTTCAAACTTTACTGTGTGTGCAGGGATGCTAAGCCCTTCTCCCTACCTCGCTCGAGGACTTGAAAATAGACCCGCAGCACTGACCCAGCCTTGCCTCTGTCTCTGCTCTAGGTCGTGTGATAATGGCCATTGTATGCTGAACGGAGCTCAGGGTACCTCTCCAGAGATGAGGAAGTCCAACCTGCCTGAATTAGGCATCTATCTAAAGGGTAGGTCTAGAATTGTGCTGCTATGTGGTCTACATTATGATGGTCAGGATTTAAGGGCAAAATTCTGTGCCGTGACTGTACTAACAATACAATAAGGTTTTGTGTTATCCTCTAGGAGATGTTTTTGATTCAGCCTGTGCTCCTGTGCCATTCCTGCCTGCCCAGCCTCTGCCTCGGGACAGTCCAAAGCATGGCTCTTCACTCCACAGGACGCCCTCTGGTTATGATCTTCTCATCCCTCCATTAGGTTAAAACCTTCTAAAAACCTTTCACTATCTCCTTCCCCAGCCTCTTCTCTCTATACTGCATGATCAGAACCCAAAGTTCAATGCCCTGGGTTCTGAGTCTACCTGACATTAGGGTAGGGTCTCCAGGAGACTCCCGAGTTCATGTGACCCGTTCTCTATTTAAATGATTAAAGTGATTATGTAGGACGTGGTCTCCAGTAAGTCATGACATTACAAATGATTCTATGGTATTTTTTATACTTTTGTGTGTAACTAATTTTTCTTTAATAAAATTTTTAATAATCAGAACAAAACAATTGAGATAGATTGATTTCTCATTATATAATTCTTTTAAAACTGAAAAAAAAAATGATGGTATAAAAACTGGCTGCCAGTCAAGGTTTTATAAAATTTCATCTTACACATTAAATGAACCCAGACACCCTGCCCTTGTGTTCTTATAGTTTTGAAACAATGATTTGAAGAGTTAGATGTAAAAATTTTTAGTTAATACAAACTTATCTGTATTTCAGTATGAAGTGACCCAGGTTTCACTTACGCTAACTACATAAAATGGTATACATAATTACAAAGAGCTGCAAATTGTGATTTATTCTAATTTTAAAAATATAATACAAAGAAACTCTTTGTTTCAAATTATAAAGAAACAGTGTTTATTTGTATGTATACATATGAAGGTACAGTTAGGTATCTATGCAGTGAGATCAAAACGAAAATTTAAATTTGTAAAAATTTATTACAGCAAAATACACGTTGCTGTTAATAAATGCCCCTTTTTTAACACCGTCATCCCATCATTCTTGCTGCTTTCTAAAGCACTTCTGGAAGCCACTTATTGTGAGTGGCTTTAGTTGCACTATTAACTACTGCTTTGATGGCCTAAACAGATTGAGAATGTTGGCTTTCGTGGTCATTCGACTTAGAGAAAAGCCAACAGCCACAGCTCCACGTCTGTGAGCGAGGTGCGTGAGGACACACTGGTGTGCTCCTCAGCTTGCCTTTCCTTTGGAGGGCATGTGGCAGCAGGATTCCCAGTTTCAATCACACCTTGTAAAGATGCTCATAAAGCAACTTCCTAAACCCTTTCAGAAAGCAGCAAGAAGCCAGGGATATAGCTCAGCAGTATAGCACAGCGCCTGCCTGGCAATCACGAGGTCCTGAGTTCAAATCCAAGTACCAAAAAAAGGTGGCAAGAACCAGGAAGTAAGTGTGTTTGAAAGACTGCATCTTCAGATTAATAGCTATGTAATGTGTCTTTGACTGTAATGTTTTTATTGAAACATGTATTTTTGATCAGCCCTTATATCTTGAAGTTGGCTGGTTTCCTTGTCACTGTTAAATCTCATTAATTTTATGAGGCACTCCTTTGGCTTCAACATATCAACATGATGCATGGTGAAGGTCTATTCATAAACCCTTCTGGTCCATCTCTACGGTCACTAGAAATATGAATGAACTTCTATATTTGCTCAGAACACGACTCTGAGTTGCATTGTCTTTTGCTCCTAGTATTTCCATAGCTTAGGGTTCATTCTCACCTACATTAATGACTACAGGTCCTGACTTACACTGTCTCGCTTCTGTCTACATGGCACCTTCTGGTCTGTCACCCATGTCTTTGTGACCTCGATCAGCCTTTCTGTGGGGAACCTAAAGGATGTGTGTATTTCTGTATGGCTAAGCAAGACTTGGGACTGAATTTTCGTTAATTTAAATTTAAATAGCTGTATGTGGTGCCTACCTTTTAGGATAATGCAGATATATGTTATAATTATTCTGTGTCCATCCTCTCGCTTTCTAGTCCATCTAAATTTTTGTTTGTAATATTCACTCAGCTTAGAAGATCCCGTCCTTACATTTCATGAATGCATGTGTTGAGCCTCTGATATTCCAGGTTTTCCACTTCTTCAGCAATTCGCAGAGTGCAACTTGTCTACATTTCTCTTTCTTCCAGTGTTTCTATCTTTCTCTGGGGCCAAGTTCTTTCACCTGTAAATCTACCCATGTTCGAACATTTTCTTTAGCTTATCTTTAATGAAATCTAAGTTTCTTGAGTCAAAGCCTTATCACTTTGATCTTTGTATCAGTCAGTCACCTAGTGTAATGTCTGATATCTAGATTTTGAAGGTGGTAAAATGACAGCTAGAAGTAGAATGGTAAAGCTCTCCTGTATCTTCAAATACCTTAAATTGGAAAAATATTTATGAGGATTGAAGGAAATAGTCTGCGTGTTTTTGCAAGAAAAGTGCAATGAATGGTATAACTATTAATTTGTGTTTATGCTTAAAGTCATTCAGCTTAAATAAATAAAACTTTTTATTACTAGAAGTAGGGATTTATGTATGCCTTATTTCTTTTATTGAAACTGTGTTTAATGTTCTTTTTTTTTGAAGAATCAAAGATAAAGGAAAATATAGCCAAAGTAGGCAAGTGTAGCCAGGGTACATAAAATCACAGGACAGTGTTTGGTACTTGTTAAATCTGAGAGATAATCAAATAAAAGTAGCTTTTCAGAACACAAGAAAGAGATCTACATTTAACTATTCTTTAGAAATAACAGTTACATTAAAAAAAATTCTATGCTCTAGGAGCACTTTTGCATATTTTGACAATAAATATATTATTTGGAACAGCAGTTTAAATTAATTACGATTTTGTGCAGAAACTTTATGGGCTAGTCTAAACTATTCTTTAGCATTCCATTATATGTGCATGTGTGATCTTCTAATTACAGACGGTGAATTCTTTCTGCTACACAGAGAACTCTGTGCTGATGGTGGGGTGGCTGGGAATTTTAGTTCAGCGTTCCAGGGCACTCATAATGTAAAGGTTACAAACTGGGTACAGCCAGCTCAGAACTTCCAGTGCTGCCTTTTATAGAAAAACATGGGACATAGTAATAGTCTAAAAGGTGTGCTTGAATGTGGGTGTCCTTCCAGACGTGGCCACAAAATAATTCGATGGCATTATCAGTCAGTGCACTTCTGGAAAGCCCTGACAGTGAAGTTCTTTATAAGTAGCAAGAGAAGCTGACTCATAGCTTTTGCTTGATACTGAGTTGCCATTCACGAGTTCTGTTGCTGATTCTGACCTTTCTTCACACGCAGGTGAAGATGCTTTTGATGCCCTCCCCCCGTCCCTCCCTCCTCCCCCACCTCCTGCAAGGCATAGCCTCATAGAACATTCGAAACCTCCTGGCTCCAGTAGCCGACCATCCTCAGGGCAGGACCTTTTCCTTCTTCCTTCAGGTAGGTGAAAAAAAGCAAAGAGAACTTATCCACCTCCAGCAGAACTATTTCTGAAATCATACTGTCAGATGCTTGCTTGTGACTCCGGAGCCTCCACCACCCTAGGAGAAAAGCTTGCATTTGGGTGGGCTTATTTGTTGATTGATTGATAATGATTGATTGTTCAAAAATACTAGGAAGGTGGCCAAAGCCATGGGGACTCATAGACTTAGAAAGAGTGTATAGAGACGATCTAGTACAAATGCTTTTACCTAAGGCGTCCTGAAAGGCTAGAGTGGCTAAATGACCCAACTAAAAGTAAGTGAGATAGAATTTAGACTTTCCATGCCCTTACCAACTCTTAATTCTTTTTCTAATAGTTTTTAAATGTTACAGGATAACCTTACTGTGATAATTTTATTCAAAATAAATATATTCGTATCATAAAAAGTTTCTTTAAAACATCTCTATTTTATTTTGTTGCTTTTTTGTTTTTAAGAGCAGAATATATTTATTGGGGGAAAGAAAGTTTCTGTCCCAGAGGGACAGAAGGGGACGTAAGTGGGTTGCCTTTTATTGCTATTTTTTAGTGACTCATGTATGTTCTCAAATTATTGGTCTTCAAGGACAAAGTAATACATTTAAATTAATACACTTAAGTCTACTGAGCTGTACAAATAAAATTGAAAACACTTAGTAAACTGCATTATCACAGTAGCCAGGACACAGTTAAAACATTTATGCAATCAGTTGTGTTGGATCTGCTGGTATTAAGTGTTCTACCAGTCCTGCTGGTGACAGTATAATCTGGGATCTGAAATAAGTTCCCTCTGGGATGTGGTTTGGTAAAATGTAAAATTTTTTAAAAAAATTGCTTTGTATTTCTGTATAACATTAATCATGAAAAGCCCTTTTAAAATGCTGTTTTTCTTTTGGCTGCCGATATGCCTCAGTGAAAATTTGGGAGTATTAACCATTACAGTCCTTATGTAACCATTAGTCTCCTTTAGCATTCGTTTTTTACAGTTTTTTTCCAGTTTGGTGTGCCAGTTTAGAAAGTTTGAAGATACTTAATGAGATGCAAGTTATGATTATGTAACTGTATATACAACTTCAGTTTCAAAAAGTGGTTTATTTTTGTTAACAATCTCTACTTTCAGCAGTAAGTATACCAAGGCTGACACTGTCTGAACTTCCTGTTAAGTGCCCCCTGCAGCCACCACAGGGTGAGCTTCATCCGCCATCTGGTCTGAGCAGGAAGTGCGGGTCCTCACCCGTGAGGCTTTGCCATATGCCTGCGTATGAACGGATTCACTTTGCTGTGTTCTCACTTATGCTAACTGAAACCTTTGCTTTTACATGTGGACTTGGGTGTTTTTTAAATGAGTGAAATAATTCTGAGTTATTTAAGCTTTTCTGATACTAAGTTCTCAATAGTTTCTAGCTAGATTCCTGCAAGGTCCTTAGCGCCTTTTGTAAATGTGACATTAGCCCCAGTAGGTGAAACCTCAGTGTAGTTGTTTCTTTTAAAATAAAGTCAGCCTTTCAGTGAGTTAGCAGAGAACATTTTATGCAGATACCAACTTTTGCCTGTTTATTTAAAGAATTATAAAATGTTTTAAATCTTTATCATAATTGCATTGCTCATTGACTTACAAAATCTTCATAAATCACTTCTTTGGATTAATTGCTAAAAAAAACCCTAGTACTTCAAAATGAAATCTTCCCCTGACATTTTAGATAAATGAGACTTATGGAAATCACTCCATTTCATTTGTACATTTGCTTGTTTCAGTTTTGGATGGTTACCAAGGAGCTCAATACTTAGGTCAGCCTAGACTGTGAGGCTGGCAGCGTGAACGTGTTGCCAGCCCATGGCCCTGCTTTCTATGTGGAAGTATTGTCATTCTGTTCCCAAGATACTGCTTCCTATTCACACTTCTAAGAAAAAGGAAGAAACGTTTTTCTTTTCCAATCTTTCATGCCATTAGAAGACAAATTTCCAGTCTAGACCAGATCCTGTATTACCTTCATTTGAGTGATTATTTTGTATTTAAAGTCAGATATATTATCTCTCTTGCTTTTCAAAATGAATATTTAGTTATCTTATACAATAATATAGAACATATGTAACCTCATAAATAAGCATTTGAGTATTACTGTGCCAAAAATTAATAAACTGTCTAAAGGCATAGAGATTTGTGATAGCTCTTCTTTAACTTCAAAATTAAACTTCATGAAAGAATATGCCATTGCTGCTAAAGCTCAGTTCGTTAGACTTGGAATCTTAAAAGGGTAAATAATGTGATACCTGACTAGAACTGTGAGCATTGGACTGCTGTTTGTCACAGATGTTTTGTCCTACAGCGATAATGTTCCTAAGCATTACTGAGAGTTGGCTTCCTCGAGGAAATCGTTATTCCTAAAGACAGAAGCTAGCTGTCTTAAAAGAAGTGGTTGGACTTTCTCATACATTCACCTCCTGTATAATGAATTCTGGATCCACCCTCTGGCTTCCTTGTAGTCGCACTTCTCAGGTGGCCACGTTGTGTTTCCACAATGCAACCTCCTGACTCCGCAAGATGAAGGGGGACAGCCAGCAGGGCCATGCATGGTGGTCCTCTGCCTGCTTTCTATTTTAGGCTTTCATACAGGGATTCTTGTACGAAATGTAGCAGTGCCCATTTCTGCACCTGACTCCTTTCTTCTCGACAGGATAATCATATCTTAACAAAACCTGGAGTTGTCAACAGAAGCTTCATGCTTTTCTGTCATTTATGTTTTGTTCTGTAATACAAAAAAGTGTTCCCTTGTGCTGGGGGCTGAAGTAGGAGCCTGCCTGCCACTGCCTGCCAGGTCTCGTGCTTGAGGAACAAAACCAGGAGCAGCCTTTTGGCCTGCTTCTCCTCTGTGGGACGTCTCTGAGGTGTGTGGAAAGTGGGCAACCCACGCGGCAGCCTGCGTGGCAGCCCACCACCACCTTTCCTTACATACTCCTCTAAGCTGACAATCTCTTTGGCAGTCCTTACCCAATCTTAAAGTCACAATAAAAACTTTTTAACAGCTGGTAGACTTGACTTTATTAAAGATAGATGAAAGTTTCTCCAATTGAACCAGAAGTACTGTTGTATAAGTAAAACACAGAGAAAAGCCAGGTCATTAGCAACAATTATTGGAAAGGATTCAGAGAGTATTGTTGACTACAGACTTTCTGAAACATTGGTAGGTGTAACAGCCAAGGACCTCCTGCCATTTTGGGGTTACACTCACAGAATTGGAATCAGGATGCAGTGCCCAGCCCACATGTAACCCACTGGGTGTAGACCGCTGTGTGCGGGTGTTGAAGGAATAAAGGGCTAGTGCAGCAGAGGTCCCCAGCTGTACTTTCCAGATTAGCAGTGTTTGTGCCTCAGAAACATCTTACTTGTTGGTTTTTTTTTTGGTTGTTGTTGTTTTTTTGGTATTTTAGGGAAGTGTCTACAGGGTGTTCAGGGTCTCACAGCTAGATCAGACTCGTAGTGATCCACCTGTTTATATCCTCCCAAGAGCTGCGATTACAGGCATGCACCACCACACCCAGTCTCAATTGCCATCTCTGTGCCTAGGGGGCGGGGCCGGCACCCTAGGCCCAGGGATCAAACCCCCGGCCCCTGCGCCTGCTTGCAGGCACCTTAAACTGCTGAGCTATTTGGCCAGCCCTAAGATCTTATTTGATATAAAAAAAACTCAGGACCTTAAATCAGACACTCAGAGCATAATACCCAAGCCTGTTGGTCCATTTTGATGGTGCTTAGATTTTAGATATGCTGGGCTAAGATGTTCCCAAAGATGTGCAACTAGAATGGCGAAGGACGTTCATTTAACCTTCAGAACACCACCGTGAATTAAAGAAATGCAGAATGTTTAACCCAAAGATAGAATAATAGCAGAAAATTCTAATGTATATCTGTGAGGGATGGGTTATATTTCTTCCATATCATCTCAGAAGGTAGAAATAACTCGAGAGGAGGATTACCACAGGTTCAAGGGTGACCTGGGCTACCTTAGCTTCATAGTGTGACGCTATCTTTAAATGAATAAATAAATAAATAATCATTATGTCCTGGGTAGTGAGGCCTGAAAGGATTGGAGGTCGAAAGGATTTCAGTCCAGGGCTATGTCGTTGCATATTGGACGATTTTTGAATGTGAGTTAGAGGATAAGAGCAGCAAAATCAAAACTTTGTGTTGCCTACGTGGCTTTTTGAATCCCTTGCAGCAATTATGTTCTGCATCTGTGTACTATTTAAAAATCTTCCCAATTATAAATAGCCACAAAAGAATGTGCCATCATTTTAACATCAATTTTCTCTCTTCTTTTACACGAGTGGAAGTTTAGAAGTGCTTCAGGTCACAGTATTTTTCACAGTATTTTTAATTTGTATATCTTAATCCTAAACTTGGTTTTAAACTTGTAATTCTTGAGGAGTTTAATTTAGAAAAATGTTACTGCTTTTCAAATGTCCCTTGTTAGAGGACAGTTAGTACTGATACTCTGTGTAGCACTGGTGTTGTATGTGTGTTTTTCTTTGAGCTCACAAATTCCTCCAACTTTAAAACTGCTAGTCATTTAGAGTGGAGTCTTAAGTGCTGTTGCCATTTATAGTAATATTTTTCACATATGTACCTAGTGCCTAAGTGAAGTAGCTTAGTGGAGCAGCATAGTACAATGCGTAGGTTGTAGTCTGTCTGTCTATGGCAGTGAAGTAGATCCAGATTTTACTTTTCAGCCCTAATGGTGAATTAGAAATAGGAACCTATTTCTAGTTCTCCATTAAGGCTAAAAACTTAATGGAGACTATTTAAAGCTTTGGATATTTCAAAATTTATACAGTAACTACATATTTGGGTCTTCTGAGAAATCAAAAGTCAGTATCCCTTGTACTGAATCAGAATGACCTCATTTCCTCCTAAAATACTTCAGCAAGACTCAACTCTTCAAATATTGAGAGCTCAGGCCATAGCACTGCAGCATGGGCCTGTTACCTCAGCGCTCCAGGAGCCAAGGGCAGGATGATCACAAGTTCAGCCCGAACAGTTTACTGACTTAGCAAGACCCTCGCCCTAACTCAGACCTTGAGTTACTTTAATAAGGAGTTTAATGAGAGTGAGTTAAGTTACCTTGCATCTCTTAAGTCCCCAGCAAGGCTGGTGATGACTACCGCTGTCCAAAATAATTAAAGTAATAACCAGTAATGGCTCTGATCTTGCCTTACATTATCAGTATAAAAATAGGACAAATAGGCAATTCTAAACATTAATTTTCTCCTTAAATTCTTAGACTGTCAAACTCAAACATTAAACAATAAAATAAAAGCTATTCTTAATATTTATAACTGGTTTTTGTTAGCAGTTCAACTTTTACTGCTTTGATGAAAATAGGAATCTGTATTTATTTTTAGTAGCTAAAAGACAACATTTATTAAGTGGAAGCTATTCACCAAGCAGAGTGATGGGTGCTGTAGTTGAGTTGGGAGATACGATTTTTTTTCAATATTTCAATAAGTATTTTTTATATTTTAATAATTTTATTAAGAAGGAGCAATGATACAGTTGCAAAACAGGTTAGTAGTACAGTTACAATAATTAATATATTACATATTGTTGTCTTTGTAGTAGTTATTCCTAGTATAAGATAAAGACATGATACCTTGTCTACACATTAGTTCAAAACCTTCTCATTGAACTAAGAGAAAGTAGCTGTATACAGATTTATGCTATTGTGTATACACACACACACACACACATATAATTTCCACTACAAAATAGTCCATTTATATCCCCTTTTTTGTTTACTTTTGTCAGAGATGTGTATTCTATTGCTATTCGTACATTGTAGGTACATGAATTCAGCAGAGTAATCCAATATAGTCCAGTAGTCTATAATAGTAGTGGGTTATCCACAAGACTGGCAGTGTCAGTTGTTGACTAGAACCTTTTACAGCTCAACATATTAATATGGCTTTACTTTTTATACCTTGATTTTATACTTTTCTGCTGGATGGTTAAGACCAAGATAAAGCAAGACTTATATAACAAGAAATGTAACTTTTGTATCTGATAAGGTCAGTCAGATCCCCTCAGGACTTACCCTGAAACCCTGTACCGCAATTTGTAGATCTTTTGTCAGTGTCAGCCATGTGGATGAGTCACGGCCATTGCTTGACCAATTTGCTCTCTGAGAAAGCCTGAGAGAATGTTTTCTCTCCATGTGACTCTCCTTAGGTATACTCTACATTATCGATCACTTTCTTCTGTGGCCCCATAATCTCCTTGATCAGAAAATTTGGGACACAGTTGAATTACAGGATGTTACAGTACAGATTCTCCTATGTCTTGAGTCCTCTTGGACCTTTTGGCTAGGGCCAAAATGTTGGCTGTCCTTGCAGCCATTCTCTTTCTCTAATTTTTGGTCTGCAAACTTAAGTTGTTAACCCTCCAGAAGAGAAGCTTATTATTACTATCCTACAACATAGGCAGTTGAGCTTAACCTCACTATCTGTCTGAATATCAGACATCTTAGACAAAACATGGAACAGGTATTTTCCATCAAGTATTGATGTATTAAACTTGGGAGATACGAGTTAAACAGAAGGAAGCAAGATCCCCAGCGCTGGACTGAGCGCTATCTCTGGAGAGCCTGCCAGCGAGAGAAAGCCCTGTGAGGGGAGTGCAGAGTGGAAGTGACAGCCAGAGAAAGTTCCGGTGAATCCTGATTTCAGAGATAATACTTATCTACTTAGAGAAGGACTCAGTTCTAATGATTTAATCCCACATTGTGCTAATTAACTTTAAACCACTTTGGTTCATAGTCCTAATGATTTAATGCAGTTACACTGAAAACATCCTTTTCTCCCTTTAGTGCCAATTAGTAAACATCATTAATAGTAAAATAATTTTGATTTATATATAATTTATATTTTTAACAATTTCAGACACCTTATTCCTGACTGCTAAAGTGATAAAGTATATTTAATGAACAGTCAAGCCTTTGTGTTAGTAAGAGCACGGGTCTTAACAAATGTCTTTACTCTTCACTAAGCCAGAAAACAGTTCTGATTCTTAGCATAGAAGATCCAGCATTGAGCATTATTATATGTGCTTAAATGTGCAGAAGATTTTTAGATATATAAATTCACTTAATCCCCACAAAACCCGAATTTCGGGTTAGTTTTAAAGAGTTTTGTCTGCCTTATGCTTAGATAGATTAAGTGATTAGATAAGACTAAAAGGAAAGATTCAAACTATTTTTCGTTCAAAGAGCTTCTGTTCATTGCAAAGAGTTGATTGGTATAGAAACTATCTTTATCACTAGCAATTTTATAATTAAATAAGAGCTCTGATGACTATGAGTTTTTTAAATGTTATAAATACAAACTACCCAGAAATACATGGGAAGAACACATTGTAGCGAGTGAATTAGTTTAAGAATATGCATGCAGAGTAGAAAGTGGCTCATAGTAGTTGTAAGATTAGCTTTCTAATTTATTTTTGAAAGCTATAATCCGTATAAAAGAATTCTCAGGTTTTTCTTAGCCAATCAACAGAAATAATCTCTTTAATTTCAAAATTCTTTCTTTTTAAGATCCATTTTTTGATCCAGCAAGCAGCCAAGTTCCTTTGCCTCCTGCTAGAAGATTACCAGGAGAAAACGGCAAGCCCAGCAGAGCATCGCAGGACTACGACCAGCTTCCTCCCTCATCAGGTGAGCGGGCTGGTGATAGTTCTGAAGCTGCAGCTGTCTGGAGGACAGCCTCTGTTTTTCACAGCACCTGGCTTCTGATTGTTTGGTTGGTTTGTTTTGTGGAATTTGAAGAGCGTTGGCTCTGTAAGTGTTTCTTATCACCTTTGCATTTTGCTTGTAAAGCTTCTATGAAAGAAATGCCCATATAAATGCTTCAGGGAAAGAGAAAACAGGCTTAATACTTCCTTTGGTGGGCAGAGGAGATAGCTCAGCGATCTGAGCACCTGCCTGGCAAGCACGAGGACCCAGGCTTGATCCCCGGTACCACATGCCCTGCTGGCCCTGCAACCTGGGCGTGGTGGCCTATACCTGTAATCCTAGTGCTAGGAAGGCTGAAACAGCATCGCTACAAGTCTAAGCTGTGTAGTGAGACTTTGTACCAAATACATAAATGAAAAAGATTAAAAAGATCAGTCAGCACAGCCACATTCATTCACTCAAGATTTATGTATTTATCTTACTTGCCTTAACACATTTGTGAAACGGGGGGAATCTCTTGACAGAGAAGTGTTGTGTTCTCTTATTTTCTCATTAAGACAGAAATATCTTTAGACTAATACCAGCACAAAACTAGCATTAAAAATGCTGTTCATTTGCATGGCTTACTTGGGCCTGCTGTAAGTGCTCGAATGCCAACTACCACATAGAATATTCCACTGCAGTAAAGATATGTCAGACTCGTAAGCTTCATCATAAAATGCCACTGTTTTGCTTCCAGAAAAATAATATTAATAAACTTCATAGCTTTGGAATCAAGATAAATAATGCACTTCTATGAGGGGTATCAGAATGAGCACACTTATGTGATGCTATACATAGAAAATGTAGGGGCTGGGGAGATGGCTCAGTGGAATAAGCGCTTCCCTGGCAAGCGTGAGGGCCTGAGTTCAATCCCTGGTTCCACAAAAAAAAAAAAAGTTTCGTGAAACTCAGTTAGCTCTTCATTAGAAATTTCAGAAAGAACTGTAACAGACCTTGCTGAAATATATCCAAATAGCCATTTACAGAAAAAGCCTAAGCTATTATTACATAAGTGATAAAATAGTACTGCTTATTACTTGGAGCATCTCAGCTAGCTGTACCATCAGCTATTTCAGTGTGCTCCCTAAAGTGTTTACAAACATGGTTATCTTAGTTACTGTCTCACTGCTGGGATGAAGTAGAAGAGGTTTATTTTGGCTCACAATTTGCAGAGGTTTCAGGCAGTAGTCAGCTAGCCCCAAGCGTGGCAGCACAGCAGAGGGGAGAGCAGTGGGAAGCAGCAGAATACCCTCCTCCTTTCCCTTTCTGTTCCATCAGGCCAAAGCCAGTTGGTTGGTGCCACCTATACCCAAGGTGGATCTTCCCCTTGAATGCATTCGTCACCACACCTGGCTCACTAGCTGTAGAGTGTCGCACACCTGCGATCCAGTAACTTCCCAAACACCCAGCTCTAAGCCATGAGGCCTTTGGTGGATATCTAGATATAAGCCATAACAATAGTAAAACCACAAAAACTATGGTACTGTGTCTCCAGCTTAGGTCTGTTCAGGTGCAGCTGTGAGGGCTTCCTGGCTACCCACTAGTTTAGTTCACTCCAGTGGAGAGACTGGTTTGGCCTTCAGGATTGCCTTTGCACTCAGAATTTGGTACCTTCAAGATTCTTCTGAGGCTTATTTTACAATAAATAATCTGTCTTTCATTAAAGCTTTTAAAAATTTACCTGACATTTCTGGTAAGATTGCTACAACTCCTTGTAAATACAACTTATTTTAACTTTATGGCTAAGCTTTCTAAGAAAGGAGTATTTTAAAGAATTCAAAAATATAGTCTCATTGAGGAATGTTGAATGAATAGTGGGTCATCAGAGTCGGAAAGGAAAATAAATGCATTGCTTAAAGCCAGCTGAGGGTTAGGGAGAAACTTGGCCAGCTCTGCACACATCAGTCTGTGGAAGCAGGGCCTGCTTTAGGCAGAATGAGACAGTTGCTCTTCTTTAAAGAAAAGTCCTCTTGGTGGGCCTCTGCACTAAATACTTAAGCTGCATCCTTAGATTGTTCATTCGAGATCTTTCTTTCTGATGTAGGCACGTATTACTATATACTTCATTCTTAGTACTGCTTTTGCTTCTCCCACAAGTTTTAATACATGGTGTTTCCATTTTCATTTCAGAAATTTTTAAATTTCCTTCTGACTTTGATGACCCACTCACTATCCGTTGAAAGTTCCTCAGGCTCCAAACATCTGTATAGTTGCATTTTGTTATTGGCGTCTAGGTCAGAACTCAGTCCTGTCATTTTGTTGATTATCTTCTAGTTGATTTGAATATTCCTTGTTATTTCTCTCGTTCATTTTATGGTTTGATGGCTTGCTGTCTAGGAAGTGTTTGATTCTGTTTTATGACTTTGATATGGGAATTTATGCTCTCACATTCTGCGTCATCTTAGTTATCCTGATTCTTTTATTTCTGGATATAGACCTCCCGTAGGCTCGCCTAGGGGTTACGCGTTCATTCAGTTGCTTGTCAAGAAGGTAAAGTTTAGGGGCCGGGAAGATAGCTCAGTAGAGCAAGAGCTTGCTTGGCAAGCACAAGGGCCTGAGTTCAATCCCTATTTCTGCAAAAAAAAAAAAAAAAAGTCTTTATTTCTCATTCACTTCCAGAGAATAGCCTTGATAAGTATATAATCTTTATCAACAGTTGCTTTCTTTTCAAATTTGTAATATATCCCCTATTCCCTTCTGTTCTGTAAAGTTTTTGTTGAGAAATAGGCTATTAGTGATACACCCTTAAATGTGTCTTGGTGCTTTCTTTCTTTTATATTCTAAAACTATTTGTCTTATAATTTTTGACAGTTTGAGGACAGTATGCTGTGAAGATCTTTTCTGTAGTGCCATTTGTGGTTTTGTATATGGATGTCAATATTTTTTGCATTAGGGAAATTTCTGTCGTTATTTTATTGTGTAAGTTTTCTATGCCCTTAGCTTTTATCTCCTTGTCTTTGAGCATTCCAGGAATGTGTCTGCTTGTTTAGTGGTGTCGTGAAGATCTTGAGTGTTTTAATTTTTATTGTTGTTGTTAGCAAAGATCTTTCAAAATCAGATATTACTACTTCCACTTGTTATAGTCCATTGTTGAGACTTTCTGTTGGTTTTTTTTTTTTTATTAAGTTTATTTCCAAGATTTGCTGCTCTTTTAAAATTGCTCTTTGTTTAGTTTCTCATTCATATTTCTGGAGTGTCTATTCTAATTTTACTTACTTGATTATCTGTATTGTTTTAGATCTTACTGAACTTTTTATGATCATTCTTTTAATTTTTTGTCATGTATTCTGTCCAGTTCATTTCTTTGCAATCCATTGCCAAAGGGTAATTACATTCTTTGGGAACATCATATTACCTTGATTTTTCATAGTTCTTATGTTTCTATGTTTCGATTTGTGCATCTGGTGGATCAAATCCCTCTCCTGCTTTTATGGGCTGGCCTTCTTTGCCCACGGCTTCTCCTGAAGGTGGTCTTGCGATCTGCTTGTTGCCATGCAGTTTCACCGTCACAGTGGGGCGCAGAGCGGGGTCCCCCTATCCCCTTCCACTATGATTAGTTAATGTTCAGGTCAGTTACACCCACTTTCTCTGTGGACCTGCAAGAGTACAGACACTAGCAGCTAAGGACGTTGTGACAGCCACAGATGTGGATATAAGCGATCACTGTGTGGTTCCCGCAGTGGGAATAATGGCCTTCTCAGAGGGTGGGCTTACTGCAGGTCCTTCTGATGCCAGCTCTGTTAGTAGATGACTCTGGTAGTGGCAGCACCAACAGTGGTTAGGGTCTTGAGGCACGTGTCTTCTGACCAGGTGGTGGTGAGAGCACAGATTGTCCTGACAGCAGTATCCAGTGAGATGCACATTGGCAGCTGCCTCAGCTTGGTGGCAGCAGGAATTGTGGTGTTTTCTCTGCTGTCCTATGGCATTGTCCCCATAGGAGTAGAGCAGAGAGTTGCAGAGCTATGCTTGGCTCCCTGTATGCACCTGGAGTCCAGGCAAAAGGTGAAATCATGGAGATGCTCAGGGCCCTTAGCACACCCTTGTGGGGCAACAGCAGTGGGAACCATGGTAGTCCCTCCCGGCCCAGTCAGGAAAAGGCACGTAAGTAATATAAGCAGGGTCCACACACCCCATTGCCACTTGGCTTCAATCTTGGCATAGGCCTAAGTCTCCATGCAGGTAGCTAGTTCCATGGTCTCAGAGGGCAAGAACACTGATCTCTTCTTTCTTGAAGCTGCCTGTCCCCTCCACATCACAGGGCCTTTCTCCTATGATACAATGCACTCACTGGCTTTGGTGACACTCACTGGCCCTGTGTTTGACCACTTTGGGTTTTTGGGCCACTATCCTGGAACCAGTGCAGTAGAATGTCTGTGGGATCCTATGTTTGGGAATATGCAGGGGCTTCTCACCCCCAAATCAGTCCTAACTCAGATAATAGCCTTTTCTCATGACAGTGTCTGGCTGCAGAACCCTGATTGTTCACCAAGAAATAATACCAGAAGACGCTTTTCCAATTCAAGACTACTATTGTTATTTTTCTTGTTGAGACAAAATACCCAGTACCAAAAGTTAAAGGTAGATTTAATTATAACACACTCTGTAGAGGTTTCAGTCCATAGTCAGATGGCTCTATGGCAGAAGGGTGTCATGGACGACAAACAGTCCATGGCATAACAGGGCAGGCACAAGGCAGCAAGTAGCAGCAGCCTGCCTGCTTTCTGTCTCTTTATATTCTATACAGGCTGCAAGCCTATTGACTGGGGCTACCATTCCCAGGGTGGGGCATCCCTTGTCCACATCCATAATATCCCAGTTTCACTATTGGTCTGCAGTCACACAGTAATCTAGCTACTTTCTAAACTCCCACCAATGACTGCATGGTAGGGACTGGAGGTCACATCTAGACACAAGCTATAACCACCTTACTGGTTCCAAACCACTGAGGATTGTGAAACTTGCCAGAGGCTAAGACTGCCAGCATCCACAGTAAAGAGTTTTTTCTTTACTCCTGGAAAGGGGAGACTTCCCTTTCCCTGGTGTGGAGCCAACTTGGCATATGCTTGTGTGTTCTCTTTCTCTTACTAAACTATGGTGCCAGGTTTCAGAATCTTAACAGGGTTCTAGTCAGTGTTGCTGAGTTCCTGCGTTCTGTGTAACTTCAGATTACAGCTATCTACCAGATAACTTGGTTCTTGTTTTTGGAGAATTATAGGTACTTGAGTCAGCTGTCTTGTCTTCCTGGGTTCATCCTGTTTTTTGAACTGGCAATAGTTTCCATGCTTTTTAGTGTTTTCTGCCAAGATCAAAGATATGTACATATTGTATCAAAGATACAAAACCTACATATATTTGCCAAAATACAAAGATAAATATTTATAGTAAAACTAAAAGTTCTGATTGGTTAGAAGTGATTACCAGCTGTGGGGTAGTACAGAGTTTCATTGTGACTGGCTTTGGGATCTATCCAGGGGCTGGTGGAGTCCACTTCTGGGAGTGTTTAGGTCTTGGTGTGGCATAGTCTGGCCTGCTGTTCTGGTTGCTAGTCCCTCTACTGCCTTCTGGTATTCTTTCCCACTCTGCTTCAGAACCATCATAAACGAACCCGCTTCGCTTCACTGTGCTCTTCCACTATGATGTCTTTGCCCTGGAGCCAGCCACTCATGAGCTGAAACCTTTAGGAAATCAAAGCCCTCCTTCTGTACATTATGAATGTTGGGTTTTTATCAGCCACAAAGAAGCTAGGACACCAGTTGTACAAAGAGCTGTGGCCCTAGAGGTCATAATAACCTTCTTGCTTTCTTTTCAGACGTGTGTAATATTCATGTGCCTTTCTCAGTATTTTGTACCAAAACAAAATAACATTAGAAATCTTTAAAAAATATTAGCATATGTTTAGACTTGCAGTTCATGTCTGTACTTTATATTAAAAATAAAATATAAAAAAGTATCTCAGAACAGATTATTTAAATGCATGCATTTCATAGTAATTTAAATAAAACTTGGTAGGATTGCGAATAGTTATTGCAAATTGTTTGAAGCAAAGTATAATTTATCCTCTGTCTCTGCATAATGAAAATACTTAATATGAAAATATAATCTCAAAAGATACTAAAAATGCAATTTTGTGGCCCATAATAATTCAGCTGTTTAATTATAGGTGAAAAAAATAGTATGAATTTTAGGAAGGCCCAGAAATTCTATGTTCTTGCATATGTACATAGTTTAGTATACATTATCTACAGGCATAATTTTTTAAAACCTGGATGGTGCTCTATTAAAAACCAAAGTTTTAAAATAAAACCATCATAGAATTTGATGTAGAAAGAAGCATCTTCCACCCAGAATCTTTCATGTGTGTGACCATTTCTATTGTCAAAATTGTGAATGGGATGACATTCTTTACAAGTTACCTGCGCACAGCAAAGTATTGTACTCTTCATTTAAAAAGAAAATGTGCGCAAACCCCAGCACCACATGCCTTGCCAGCGCCACCCCAGTGGCATGCTGAGCCAGCCACAGAGCAGGTGTGGGGTGTGGCAGCGCGCACCTGTAATCCCAGCACTGAACAGGCTGAAAACAAGAGGACCACTACGAGTCCCAGCTGCATAGTGAGACCCTGTACCAAATACATAAAATTAAACAATAAAATATGAAACAAAATTTTATGGGTTTTAATTTTATTACTATTGCATATGTAAGCCTACAGTGGCTCCTGCTGCCACTGAAGAAACAGCGAGGCAGCAGGAAGCAGGGACAGAATGGTCACGTCATGTGTGAGACACTAGCTGCGACTTCAGTGTCTCCCTTAATGTGACAGCAGGTTTATCATTTGACATTTGGCGGCGATTATGGAGAAAGCCACTAAGCAAATACTGTTGTCTGGACAGTCTTAAGTCTATAAATGTGTTTCCTGGCATGAATTTGACATTCTTTTAAGTTTCATTTTAATCTAGGCTTTCAAATTACAGTGTGAGGGGCCAGGGAGATGGCTCGGTAGAATAAGCGCTTCCCTGGCAAGCGCAGGGGTCTGAGTTCAAGCCCCGGTTCCGCAAAAAAAAAAAAAAAAAAAAAAAAAATTACAGTGCGAGTGTGTGGTTATGTGCACAAGAGTAACCCATGCTCTGTGTGATGGTTAATTTTCTCAGGAGTATTGGGTCACAGGCACTGGTCTTGCTCTAAGAAACTCTTATCATCGGGTCACTGTCCAGAGCGCAGCTCTCCACCCCCAGGGCTTCTCCTCAGTCGGCTTTATTTCCTACAACACTTCTACGTTGGGATCTGTGCTCAGAAAGTGAGCAGAGGACTGGATATTATTCGCTTTATCCTCTTGACTAATAGTGGAAAGTCATAGAGTTTTCTTTTTCATTTCTTGTTCTGTAATATAAATAAGGTGTAACATTAACTTCAAAAATAAGATAGGCAGGGCTGAGGAGATAGTTCAGTAGAATAAGCACTGGCCTTGCAAGCACAAGATCCTGAGTTCAATCCCTGGTACCACAAAAAATAAATAGCAATACTTGTGTGATTCATCTTTAAAAAAAAAAAAAATAAGATACACACCCTAGGACATGTGTTTCTCAGAGTAGTTGTGTTGTTATATAAGTACAACATAGGACATTTTGAGGGCGTTCTGCTGTGAATATCTGAGAATATCGTTTCTTAGACAATGATTTTGATTTGTTCTATATGTGTTTCTGTCATATGTCTTAAAAAATAAAATATGGAATCAGTGATTTTGTAAGTTTCTTGGTCTATAGAAAGAACAATTTTATTTGCAAAGACAATGAAAAATATTGTTTTAGCATAAGATGGAGAGAGAAAACTATTTTGTTTTAGTGCCTTCATTTTTGTGGCACTGTCTCAATGGTATCTGTCTTGTGAAATCTCCGCAGATGGTTCACAAGCACCAGCCAGACCTCCCAAGCCAAGACCCCGCAGGACTGCACCAGAAATCCACCACAGAAAGCCCCACGGGCCTGAGGCAGCACTGGAAAATGTCGATGCAAAAATTGCGAAACTCATGGGAGAGGGATATGCCTTTGAAGAGGTAAAGAGAGCCTTAGAGATTGCCCAGAATAATGTCGAAGTGGCCCGCAGCATCCTTCGAGAGTTTGCCATCCCTCCTCCAGTCTCCCCGCGCCTAAATCTATAGCAGCCAGAACTATAAATGCCAGAATGCAGAGCAGTTGACAAATATTCCGGGAGTGCGGAGAGAGCAGACTGCGATGGAATCCGAGGGAGCCACCTCCCCACGCAGCGTCTTGAGGAAGGAGCCCAGTGTTGCTCTGAATGCCGCGTGCTGAGGACGTCGACACTGCGGCCCCTTGCGTTGCTAGCCATACTTTTAAATCAGGGTTGAACTGACAAAAATAATTTAAAGACGTTTACTTCCCTTGAAAATTGAATCTGTGAAATGCTTTTCCTTGTTTACAAGTTGGCAAAGTTGCAGTCTGTGTTTTTGATTCCTGTACTGTGCTATTGACCGACCCTTGACAGAGCGGTCCGGTCTGCTGTAACATTTCTCGTAACCATAACCTCTATTGCTGTCCACATCAACAGCAAAATCACCTCTTCAAGTTGATCGCCGCCATCTCCATCCTTCCCCACCCCAGGTCCAATGCCATTTCTACCATTTACAAAATGCTTTAAAGGGTCTGACTTTCAACATATCAAACTAATGCAAAAAACTATGTGTATGGTCTTCACTACTGAGTCTTTTCTTTGGAAACCATCATTTTTGAGATGAGAAAAAACCTGAATGTATAAAACATTTCGTTAATAAACTGCCTTTTATAAGGGGTTTTTACCTAATATAGAAGAGCTTGCCTTGGTAGTTTAAGTTTCATAACTTTTAGTTTTCCACAGTATCTCTCTCTCATCCCAGGAGCACCATGGCACTGCAAAAATCTAAAATACTAGAAAACAGCTACTACAGATATCAGATTCACTTGCACAAGAATATACCCGAATGGAGTTTTTGAATGAGCTTCTCACATATTTATATCTGCCTTACTTTCAGGCATGCTGAATAAGAGGGCCCCCTCCCGACACGAATACCCTTCAGCTAAGTCACAGACGCACTGTACCTTCTCCAAAGTCAAGTAGCGGTCTGTTCCTATTGAGAGATTATACCGTACGCCACAGTTCTTAAGGGCTGCGGGAGCTGTTATGGTGGAAACAGTCAGTCTTTGATGCACTGTTAAGTGCCGATGCTACTGTGGCAGTTGTGCTTTGGAGGCTTTTTTGGTTTTTGTGGGGCTTTGGGTTTTGTTGTTTTGTTTTTTATAAAGTTCTTGGTAATTTTCTCTCCAGTCAAATTAGCATTTGTATTTAATTCGCAGAATCTCATTAGTCCCCATTGCTCCCTCCTCCAGTCAGGTGAGAGTAATATATAGCTTTGCCTTTTTTGCAGAACTACAATTGTTCCTTTAGCAACTGTGTTACTACTTTGAATGAATGTCTAAATATTAATCATGCCCCTACAGTGTCCTCTTGGCACTGTGTTTTAAAGCACAAACTCACGAGCTGATCCCAGTATCATGTTTTAAAGATGAATTTTGATGGCAAAAGTCTGTGGTGGACAAAACCTAGAAGGGTGGCACCAGAGCTTTAAAATTTTCCAGATACCTACTTTTTTTCTTTTCTTACTCCTAATGAGAATTTAGAGAAATGAGACAAAACTCTGAAAAATGCTTGAGCTTGCTGAACATTTTCTAAGTATGGATTAAGTGTGAGTTTATGCATGTGTCAGCCACTCTTCACACCCAGTGTGATGCATTAGTTTGCGGTCAGGACTCAAGAGGACACAGCCGACATCTGGCAGATCTGGCAAAGTTGGTATGCAAGGCTTGGGCTGACCCAGGGAGGGGATGACAGCGTTTCTTTGCAAGGTGGCGTGTGCCTGTTTGTACAATGCTATGCTCATGGGAGGTGAGGATACTTGGGGATATGTGCAAGCCTTTAGTAATTTTTGCACTTAAATGAATTTCTGTGATTCTGAACTAGTTCTGTCCTTAAAGGGAAATTTTAAATTTGCATTATATATTCTTCCTGTGAGCAGGCCTGAGTGCAGTTTTTTGTACATTGGGAACAGCGTTGGATAATTTTTTATTGCTTTCTGAACTCCCAAGTTGTGTCGTCTTGAATTTTCTTTTACTAGTTTTGATGTCATGTTGGCTTTATTATGAATCGATGATGATGGGTACAGGCTGAAAGCCAAAGTGTCACTGTGTTGTGATAATACTGCCATGGCGTTCTTAGTGGATGAGGGGATGACGTAAGAATGTCACAAAGCAGAGTATGTTTTCATTCAGTTTTCATATAATACATTGAAATTTTCAGTGAGAAGTTAAGAAGAAAGGACTTGACAATGTTGTAAAGTTGGACCAGAGTTCAGGGCAGGGAGACTATTTGCAAACATGAGTCTAGCCCCCGCCACAAACTCTGCATCTTGTACTCAGTAGCATAGCACTCATTAATCTTCTCTGTAACAATAGTGAATTGCAGAGTCATACAGAATAGAATGGAAAGAGGCAAATGTTCTCTCAAACACTGCCATGAAAACTCATAGCTGCATATTGCCTATGACATCACTCTCAAAAAGAATATTTTTAAAGAAATATTTAAACAAAAATATTTTTTCATTATAAAACTACCTATTAGTGCTTGGAGACGACCCAGACCTGGCTTCACTGTGATCCACAAAGTTAGACATTTCTCCTCATTCTCAACATTTGCTGAATGCCATTCATGGATCTGAAGCCAATATTTAAAATCTGCAAGATGAAAATCATGGCCAATATTAATCCTCATCACTAAATACGTTTATCTTCATGAATATTTCAGTAAATTTATGTCCAGTCTTGTTTTTCCCTTGATATCTGATATACTACAACCATTTCTAGAGTAGAAACATTTTCTGTTTAATGTGAACCTCCCCAATTTGACCTTCAGCTCGCCCCTGTCCACTTCCCCTTGCCCATGCTGCAGACAGATGTGGTATAGACACAGCCTTCAGTGCAACTCCAAAGGGCCCCTTGCTAATTCAGTGTTTCACACAGCAAGAACAGTTCCCAAAAGTTTCTTCATAATGTGAATTTACTTAATTTTTAAGTTCCAGAAGCATTTCTTGTGTATCACTTCTCAGATTTTCAACTTGAAATTTTAATTTGCACTGAATTACCTAATCTGGTTTTAAAATGTCTCTGTTGAAATGACAGATCTGGAAGCAAATTACACTATATTTTAAATAGTACAGGTACTACCTGTCAACCTGGAATTTTAGTGCTTCTGGGAAGTTTCCATAAAAAGCAATAGAGTAAAGGGTTTCCTTTCCAGTTACTATTATGTTGTTTTAATACTTTTTAAAAAATGTGTCTAAAGTTGCAAAATAGTTATGTGTTCAATTAATTTATATTTTATTCATTCTTTTTCAATTCTGTTTTTATGTAACCAAGTATTTTTTCTGTTCTTTTGAGGTATTTTATAAAATGAATATTAACAAAATGCAGAGTTGGTACTTTATTTTCAAATGAAATCTTTCTGAATACTTCTATGGTATGATTTTTCTCAGTGTTCAAATTGGACAAATAATACAAAGCCATCATAGATTTATTAAAACTGAAACCATGGAAGTAAGGTACTCTTTTGTACTACTCTCAGGTCATAAAACTGAAAGTCAAAATCATATTAAAAGTGAGGGAAATGCTACCATTCCCAGAAAAGGCTAAAGGCCTTCAGACGATACCCTTGAATACCTGATGTATGCTAGGTCAGCAGTAATATCTATTCTTAAAACTTGGGGTTTTTGTTTGTGTTTTTTTTTTTTTTTTTATGTATTTAGTACAGGGTCTCACTACACAGATCTTAGTGATCCTCCTGTTTTCAAGCGCTGGAATTACAGGCACGTTCCACCACCCCCAGTCTCACTCCCATCTCAGCATGCCCCGGGGGCAGAGCCAGCAAGGTGGACCAGGGATAGAACCTCCAACCCCTGCATCTGCCTAAGTAAGTGCATTAGTCCTCTGAGCTATGTGCCTGGCCTTAAGAAAACTTTGGTTTTCTAATTGTTGGCTACTCACCAGCTTATACTAGCGACAAAACAACAGAGTTTTAAAATGCTAATCTTTTATATCAAAAACTTGAAAAATTAATTGGGACATGTGAAGTTCTTTGTATAGCAATAATATTTCCTTAAAGTACAGTGAAAAAGCCAGGGAGATGGCTCAGTAGGCCTGAGTTTAATCCCCAGTTCCACCAAAAAAAAAAAAGAAAAAGCATTTCATAAGAAAGTAACTCCAGTACAATAAATGTGGGTAGGTCTCCGTGTTAAACTACTATTCCATGCCATGGTAAATGCTTAAGAACTCATGGACCCCTAAATATGTGTAAGGAACTCAGTATTGAATCAGTTAATGTTTATAACTGTCCTGTGTTCTTCTGAAACTGATAGAAAAGAGTTTGAGAAGCCAGAGACTACAGAACACTTGTCAACCTTACAGGAGCTGTAAGTTCTATTTGTTGTTGAGAAATTCAGAGAAAGAAAGCTTTTCATCTAGGATCTGCACACATGATAAAGTACTGATATTGAGGCGAAGGAAGTGGGGGCGGATGGGGGAGTCAGAGGGACCTGGCAGAGGTGAGGGCCAGGCAGCCACTGTCCTGGGGGCTGGGGGAGGAGCGGCCACTCCCTGGTGGTGGCAGAGGATGGTAACCATGGCAATGGGCCGAGAACTTTGCACACCCAGGAATTAGGTCATTCCCCACAGGCCATACCACATGACAGGCAGCAGGCTCCAACGAATTTTGATTGTCATGTTTTTCTCTAGATCCTTTGGATTTTAAAAAGAACCTGGGAGGGCTGGTGAGATGGCTCAGTGGTCTAAAGCACCTACTTGGAACAAGCTTGGCAAAGCACAGGGACCGCGGTTCAATCCCCCAGCACCACATGCCAGCCAGCCCCGCCCCCTGGTGGGCTGAGCTGGCCACACACACACACACACACACACACAAATAAATAAAATTTAAAAAAAAAAAAAAAAAAAGAACCTGGGAAATGACTCAATTAGTTGATTGTTTTTGCTAATTTTTCATCTCTACCACCGTATGTATCTTTGGGCTCTGAATTATGGGTGTTCTGAATGTAAATTTGTCTAGAATTGGCCTCTGTAGCTTGAGAGAAAAGGAAAGTAGAATTTCTGAAATTAGAGTGTAGCACTACTATTTCTTTATTAGCACCTGTTGCCCGTGCGTGTTCTCTCTGTTGTGGCAGTAGGTGTACACATCTCAGCTCTACTTTTTTTTTTTTTTTTTTTTTTTTTTTTTCAAAACCAGGGATTGGTCTCAGGCCCTTGCACTTCCCAGGCAAGTACTTACTCTGCTGAGCCATCTCCCCGGCTCTTTTTCTTTTTAAAAATCCCCTTTTTCTCCTGTGCATCAGCCTCTTTTACTGTAGAATCCAATTCGAGTACACGATAAAACGTTTTCAAGAAGTGAACTCAAGCTTTGAGCAGCTGATGGCAATTCCTGCTTTGCCGTTTCCCAGCTGTGTGACCGAGGCAAATGTTCTGTCCTTTCTGTGCTTCGGTTGCCTCTTCTGTGAAATAGAGAGCAACTATCGCTACAGTAAAGTTAGGAGAAGGACCCAGTGCGTTCATAGAGCAGCGATGGCATTGCGCAAATGCTTAATAATGCCATTACTGCAGCCCTGTGAGGGGGAATCTTTCAGAGCTTTCAGTGATGACAGCGAGCTGTGGCTTCTGTGCCGTTGATTCTCTACCACTGAAGATACCCTGTCCAGGAAACTTAGAACACTCTTGTCTCCCAGAATTGACAGGAAGGAAAAGTGTGTCCGAACTGTATCATGAGTTCACGTAGTTAGGGGTTGTCAGGGTAGTGTTAGGACAAAAATTGTATTTTCTGGTTGAACTGAGGACAGTGGAGCTCCCAAAGCTGCACATCCTGCCAGCCCAGTCCACAGTCTTCTTGGGGTGTCTATGTCCCCACTGCACCCTCTCTCTTCCTGTTCGCTCTTCAGAGCCAGGGCAAAGTACAGCTGAAAAAGAGGTGGCCTGGGGCTTATGAAGGGTAGTCTGGCTTTCTCAACAGCTGCTCTCAGGGGTCCGGGAGATAGCTCAGTGGAATAAGTGCTTGCCTGGCAAGTGCAAGGTCCTGAGTTCGATCCCTGGTACCACCAAAAAAAATTAAAAAACTGCTCTCAAGTTTGAAAGCTAATTTGGATCCAAACAGTAATTTTTCCCTTAGATTATAGGGGAAAAAAAGCATAACTAATGGGTTCCTTTAGGTCTGTCAAACAAAATGTAAGATACTAAAGAGCACTTTTCCTTTATTCCTGGAATGAGGCTAAGATCTCAGCTCTGAAAAGAATATTTGATAACTGAGTGCTTTCTCAGTCTCAAGGTCTCCAGTAAATGTGTGTAGGACTCAACAAGGCTCAGAGCAGAACCCATTAAGCAGAAATGGTGGCTCAATGGTTGATGTGGGAGGCATGAACGAGGGATGAGAAATTTATGCAGAGTCCACCTCCTCAACCCGGGTAATGATAACCCCAAGAAAAAGTTAACTCTCAGCACCAGGAAACTGCCACCTTATCCCATTGTGTACACATGCAATACACCCATTCACCTTGTGTCTGTATTTGAGCAAAATCACAAACTTAGAGCAGAATCAGTCGTGATTCAGCTGAGAGATTGCCACCTCAGAGGACAAATACATCATACTCCCCTGGAACAAACAGGCCCTGCCGACGCACTCATCCTCCAGTTGTCCTGACAGGACCCAAGAGGGCCATCTGCCAGTGTAGGAACTCAAGCAGCTCTGGGATATCACAGCTGGACCAGGCACAAGGGAATGGAGGCAGAAAGGAACATGCCTCCACGTGAGTGACAGCGTCCACAGTGGAGATGCGCTTCACAGATGAACTAGAAAAGCATGGGCACAGCACTTCTTGCTGGTCCCAACCCTGAGGAGGTGCAGTCTAAGAATGAGGAAGAGTGGTAAAAAGTCCGGACAAGGCATACTTGCTCTCCACTCCTGAGACAGAGGTGCGCTGTGCCCAGGAGGCAGTGTGCAGGGGAGAGCAAGGAGCTAGACAGTCTAATTAAAAGCAGTCATTTGGAAACAAACATCAATTTGCCATGTTAGCAGCTATCAGGTCCTAAGTGATTGATAAACTGTCAGTTAAAACAAACATTTCAAATGGACTTTGGGGGTTTTCTTAGCTTATAAAAATTATCTAGTCGGAGCGCCATGATGAGTTCTTCTCTGGGAAGATGCTGTGGACCGGGCAGATCCATTTTACTTCTCCAAAAATTCTTTGGTAAACTCAGTTCTGCCCAGGCCTCAAGCTGTAAATACTGTTTAAGCCCATGTCTTCTATAGCAGAAACCCTCTCATCTGTCAGCCAGGGCTGAAGGGTCCAACCTTACAAAACATCTTTCTTTATGGGTACTTCTGTCTTAGTAAACCATTCACATCTTGTTAGTTGGCTTGTTCATGAAGTATGACAGGCATAGAACATACAGCTGGCAGCCACTTAAATAAACATCAGTGACTATCCTGAAATTAGTAGTAACACCTAAAACATCAATGGCTGTCCTGAAATTACCCTCAAAAGGAACCAGTGTCGCTAAGGAACCATTCCAACATAAGCTGAAAGGTGTTTTTGCAGAGAAATAAACACAAGTGCCTAGGCCCTGGGCTATTCAGACATGACTCAAAAATAGCAGTGTCAAGACATTTATTTATGTAAATGTTTAATCAAGAGCAATGTGCAACGTGTTTTTTCTGGAATTTCTTGCAAAATAAGGGAGAATAAAATGTCTAGAGCAAGACTAATGTATCTCTACTGGGCATTTTAATCAGTACTAACATCATTAAACATTTATATAGCACTTTAGCATTGGGAAAGTGTAGATTTTGTTTTAAATGCTGTATATCTTAAAACTCTTGTGAAGTAGATTCCTTAAACTTGATATCTTCTCTTTGCACATAGAGAAAAATCTCTAAGCCAAAAAGCATAAATAAGTTTTCTTGGATTGCTCAATAATTGACAAGAGTTAGATTTATAATTTATCAGTGAGTCCCATCTTAGACATTAGCTATGAAAATTGGTACTAAAACAGACGAGACTTAAGCAATCTTTTCATTGGTTAGTAAAGAAATTTAAAATATGTGATTTTTCACCTATTATCATTACTTATTACCTACCCCATTACCATTATTGCATATAACACCACCCAGAAAGATAAATGGGTGTTTATTTATTTATATACCAATATTTTTCAAGAATGCTTTGGTATTGACCAGTAACCAAAGAGAAAAGAGAATCACATAATTGAAGTTGTATGTCATATTATAAATTTTGATCAGCAACTTGAAAATATAGATGAGGTAAGTAATCTGTATCCCAGAGTGGCTTATGATTGTGGGTCTTTTAGCTAGCCATTTGCAAG